ATTTGTAAAATGCAGCTCAGCACGACGATTCGTGCATTCCACAATGTAGTTGAATAGAGAATCAGGAAGCATCTTTTCGTAAAAATTCGATGGCACTGGTTTCGATGGAAGAGAAAAAGTAGGTCCTGATGGTTCATTGAAATTCGATAAACAGTTGGTTCTACAATCAGTTTCTGGTGAGACAAAAATCCATTCTTTTTTCGATATATTTCCCGCACACATCGATTCTGTTGTTACAATTTTTGTTGGATAAATATTCTCATCATCACTATACAGTAATACAATTAGATATTATGCAACATCGGTATCGTTTCATCACCTGTATTCTTCGCTTTCTTCCGTTCTTGTTTCATTCAGACTCATATTGTTCATTGAACGAATTACTTTGCTCGATTGATATATTGCATCAGTATCACTAAAATTCAGTGTAATTCATGACCTCTTAGATATACAACTTCTCGTTTATCACCTGTATTCTTCACTTTCTGAGTGGTTCATTTGTTTCAGCTCTTCTACAATATCATCAATATCGGAATCATCAAGAGCCTTCATATAATTTTCTACTTCATCTTCTTGATTGATAACATTTTCCTCTTGACTTGATACCATGTTGATTATTCAATGAAAAATGATGTACTTGTATTCGATTTTATGAATTGTATATTTTTCTCTGAATCTAGTTCTTTATACTTTATTGTTCATTACACGTGTTCCTTTTTGAAACATCAAGTTGACTTTCTTTTATGGCTAGCGATATTAACGCTAGATTTCAATACAGCTGATCATGACGACAGAACGCAAGAGAGAGATACTGAATTTCTTTTTTTCTTGTTCATACAGAACGCAAGAAAATGACGGGATTGAAAGGATTAACACACACAAGGATATATTACGAAATACTTATGAAATGTTTCGTAATATTTCCATGACTCACATTTGTTTGAGATGAATAAAAAAAGATTTCATTACATTTCTCGACAGTATTTCAACATAAAGTTTGTCTGAATTGACTTATATGGCTACTACAACTTCTATCATCTCAAAATTTGAACGTAAAGTTGCATTACTTATTGGAAATCAAAATTATTGTCGATTTGAAGATAGACTTCGTCATACAATCAATGATGTTGATGATATTAGTGCTGTTTTACGAAATATGAAATTCCATGTTAAAACAAAACATGATTTGTATAATTCACAAATGATTTGTACATTTTCAGATTTTTCAAAAACAATTATTGATGGTGATTTTATTTTATTTTATTTTTCTGGTCATGGTTGTGAAATTAATGGAAGACATTATTTATTACCAATTGATGATGAATTAATTGAAATTGACAAAGGTATAGAAAATTGTGCGATTAACATTGAACAGATTCTTCATCAATGGTCAAAACAATATTCATCGTCTATTATCATATTTATATTAGATTGTTGTCGATTACCTTATCCATACAAAGGAAAGACAAACAATGGTAAGAAGAAAAAACGAATTCTATTGTGCTTTGAAAAACATCTCATATATAATCTTTTTTAGTTAAATGTGAAAGTAATAATCCACATGAAAGGCAGTTACCTGTTGGCACGTATGTTGTCTTTGCTTGTAGTCCATATCAAATTGCTTCTGATGGTTTATTAACTGAAAGAAACGGATTATTTGCAAAACATTTATTAAAACATATGACAAAACCAAATAAAGATATAAAACAATTATTTCGAACTGTAACTAATGGGGTTTGTATCGAAAGTAAACAACAACAAAAACCAATACGTATTGATAGTTTGAAAGGTTTCGAGCAAATTTATTTAAATGAAAAACCTCTTAATACAGATTATGGTAAGAAGAAAAGCAAATCCAGAAAATCATCACTTCTACAGTGATCCAAACCAGTGTTTCAATCGATTAATACAATGTTTATGGCTAGGATAAAAATCTCTGATGCAATTATATTGATGTCGAACAATTGCAATAGACAATTTTCTTATAAATCTTTTTTTCTATTTATTTTCTGAACAATGTAATCTAATAAAATCTGTTCACAGAATTGATTTTTCGTTCATTTCAGGAATATGCTCGTTGGAGAACATTAGAAATCATAAAATCAATGAGAAACTTTGCATTTTTCGATATAAGATGTGACATAAAACTGAACTGGGATAAATTTTATTTTTTGTCGACCCACTCTTGAATACAGCGATATTGAATGCCCTCTTTCATATTGAAGAGGCTACGTGTAATACAAATGCAATGGAAAAAATGTGTATGTAGATTATCTTAACCGATGTTTTTACTCTTTTGATTTTCTGATTGTAACACAGCGTCAACGAGAATGGTTACAATCGAAACTAAAATCTACATGGAATGAACCAACTCCATTGTATCTCTCGCTTCTATATGATATGTCTTTGACATGGCATTCATTTGATGATGACAAATTAGCAAGTTTGAGGAACATCGGATATACAAGAGATGCTATCGATCAATTGTATGATCAACTTTCGAAGAAACATGGTGAAGTATTATTCAGACGAGCGATGACTTACCTTCTTTTGATGTTGACCATAAAGACCATTCAATAATTACAGATGAATCAATAATTTCATCTTGAATTTTCATTTTAAAATTATTCGAATATAAATTACAATTACTAAACATACATAATTCTTGACTATCATCACAAACAAGTAATTTAATAAATGAATTTAAATCGATTGATTTTATACCACGTACATGTTTATCAAGTGCTTGTAAAAGAAGAGATATATTCTCGTGATGGACACATAAACAAAGATTATATGATGTTGCTGATTTATATAAGACATTGCATGGTCGTAATTTTTTAAAACTTGAGCAACTTAATTACAACTTGTGGATTTTCTTCAGCAAATAATTGATAAACTTCATTTAATGAGTATAATAAATAACGCTTTTGTAATTTTTGTTTTCTCGCCATTTTCTTGTGCTTGATAACTTATGCCATTACGAAGATACAAACTACATACTTTTTTTTATATCTGTTGATAATGATTGTTGATTACGTTCAAATTGTTTTTGTAATTTAACAATATTCAAACCTACAGCAATTTCTTTGATTAACTCAAACTGTTTGTCTTTGTTTACGGGTAAAGCATTTAAAACTCTGTTTAAAGCTTTAGATTTAGATTGTTTCGTTGAAAATGATGATACAGGTGGTGATGGTCGAGCTGGATTTGATTTTGATTTTGAACGAAATTTACGAAGATTTACTTATTGACGTAAACGAAATATCTTTAATTCAGCTGATGACATTCTTGAACGAGCAAGTCGTTTACGTTCACGATCTCGTTGTTTTATTAATTTGTGTAAACCTGCTGATTTCTTTTTCTCTCGATAACGTCGGGCTCTCTCAGCACCGGAGAGAGCCATCAGATAAGAAAGAGTTAGTGGTTTATCTAAAACATCAAACATAGAAAAAGCTTGTGAATGATTGTGTGATTAAGGCATAATAATGTATTGAAGAAAACAATGAATATAGTCTAAATTAATTGTATAGTATGCATATAGAAATAATAAAAATATATGTTTCTACATGTGATAAAAAAGCTATGTTTAATTTTAAAACAAATATATAGTATTTTGTATTATATGAAATTCCGTAACGACGTATTTTTAAGATAAGTACACAAAAATAGAACCGTTGATTAATAAAAAGTAGTGCATTCAATAGCTCTCGAAAAACTCTATCCGGTGATGTAGTTTTCTAAAAGCGAATTTGTAATTTAAGAGAGCGAAATACATTATAACTTGTTTTCGTTACGGAATTTCATGAAAAACTCAGTTGTTTTCTAAAGAATGGATGAGTCTATGTAACAATTCAAGTCTTTTTGAAAGCTCCTATTCTGACAAAGCACATCTTCTTCGATCTATCCATGTGAAATTTGATTCAATTCAGCTTAAATTATTAACACTTTTTAATGGTTAGTCTATGGTGACCTAATTATGTCGTTTTATAATAAGCTCATTGGAGAAAAGAACAGCGCTAGTGTCATTTAATAACTGTGTATTGCGTGACTAGTGGCATCTTTTCTTTACACTATTGAATGTACCCTTTTCGACAGCATACTCATTTTTCTTCAATCTTAAATTCAAACCTTCCCCAGACAAGGGTGACCGATGGCTGACCGTGCCCATATAGAAAAATTGAAATATTTCAATGTTCGACGTTTTGCGGAATGTGCATCAACATTTGCAAACGAAATAGAGCAATTATTCAAATAGCTAGAACTAATTACACTTTGTTTTTTTTCTTTCCTAAGTTACTTTTTTTGAGAGACCATCAGACGAGCCTTCTTTTGAAACCCTGAAATCGAAATTCAAATTGAAACTAAACAATTTTGCTATGGGTGAAATAGTCAGTCGGTTATCATAAAATATTGTTTTAGGGTACTAACATACCTTCTTGAGGCCCTTGGCAAAACTTTCGCTTAAATGTTTTTCCAGATGTTTTTATATAGATCGATGAAGGTTTTGATGGGCTTTCTTAAAATGAAATCAGATTTGTGAGGTCATGCCACTTTGGTACACTTTTAGGAGAATGGAAGTGAGTGAAAAAATTATTTCTTCTAAGCATTTTTGTAGAGAATTTTTTTCTCTATCTTTTAAAACAAACTGCACCTCAAACGGATGAACTGATGCTGAGAAAAGTCAAAAATATCGGGACCATCGAATTTTAGGAAAAAAAACAAGGGTCTTATGAGAGACCTTGTCAGTGTTTTGGCCATAACTCTTCACAGACTCAACTAGAAAGTGTCATGTTTTTACCATAAACTTTTCAGACCATGATCTATCGAATGGCAACAGAAAATCGAAATTTGAAATTTTTGAGTGAAGTGACAGAGTGGTGGCCTAGCGGACTCTCTTTTAGAATCTTATTTTTATACTAAATCAGATCAGATTAATAAAGTTTGATTAATTTCAAATATGATTCAGCTTCAATAAAGTCATTCAAGATAATTTCCATTCATCACTAATCAGTATTTGTATATTTGCTTGTTTTCGTCAAATCCATATTAGAATACAGTTAGTCCAATCTGCATTTCTTTTGATCAAACATGTTACTGATAAACGATCTTTTAACTATTCAATAAGTTCATCTTTGTTTTCCAATTTTTCATGACAAGATTTATCATTGATCTTCTCTATCTCTACTAAGTCTTCACAATTCTTTTCATCTTCATATTGAATCGGTAATGATCAAAGATTCATCATATTTTTGATCAGATAAATAATACTTTCACGATTAGTAACCATGATAGAAAGAAGTTCACATTGAATACATAATGGTGAATGACTTAATTTAATACATTCTTCTTCATTGTAATAACGATTATAGTCCGTTAAATTGAGTTGACGAACTGATGTATTTGCATATTTGAATAATGACATTTGTATAGGTAATGATGCATCGTGATGGATACATAAATAATGAAGATTATGTTCATGATTAAGTAAATCTTGTAATTGAGAATGATAAGTATCAGCATGTGATGACACTGCTAGTGAGCCCAGTCGATTCAAAGTTGGAACAATGGACCAAAATTGGTCGTTAACGGGAAGTTTTATACAAAGATAATCAATGTTAGTCAAATGAATATGAGATGATATCGATTGGTCAAAAAATGTCTTATTATAGATGTTAGTTATGTTATTATGAAAGTCCTGATAATCATCGTGTGGCAGAGTGGATTTCAATGAGTGAGGAAGCTCATTCTCGCAGTAATGAAATGGTTTGGATAAAGTATAGAAAACAATTGTACGGTTTTGTATAAGACATCGAACAAACCATTGATGTTCATCAATCCAACAACTTCAAAATTGCAATGCATAAGTCTAGGTAAACTCCAAATGCTATAGGCAAGTAATTGAAAATCCACTTGATTAGCTTGAAAATAACAATCGGAGATATTTAAATGAGTGAGATAACAAAGACGATGACATTGATCTAAGATTTTCATTAGTGTTTCATATGAACGAACATAGTATAATGAAAGTGATCGTAATTGAATGAGTTTATTAAATGACAGTATATATGAAAGAAACAGATTGATTTGTTCTAGAGTGTTATCATCATCAGTAAGACTAACAGCAATAACTCGATTAGCAATAAATGGTAAATGTTGTTGACATATCATATCGAAATTACGTTTCGATACAGAATCAAATTTGAAACGATAGTTTCGAAATTGATTGTATAGAAGTAAATTGAAGCGACTATTAAGACCATAAAATATTTGAAGAAGATCAACACCATTAAAATAATTGAGGGTGGGTGTGGGTGTGGGT